ATTAAAGTTATCAACTATTTCATTTTACTTGGATCCACAATCAACACCCATGGAGGCAGCAGTCAAGAAAGGGGCCACACACTAGCTTACTGGGCCACGCACCACTGTCCATCACCTCCCTGACTTCCTCCTTCTGCTCCTCCCACTCTCTCCTCATCCGCTCTGCTGGGCAAATATGCTGCAAAAGACCTCTTCAAAGTGTTGAAGAGCAAAGATATCACTTTGAAGACTAAGGTGCGCCTAACCCAAGCCATGGTGTTTTTCATTGCCTCATATGCATGTGAAAACTGGACAATGAATAAGGAAGACCAAAGAAGAGTTGATGTTTTTGAGGTGTGGTGTTGGTGAAGAATACTGAAAGTGCCACGGACTGCCAGAAGAACTAACAAATCTGTCCCGGAGAAGTGCAGCCAGAATGCTCCTTGGAAGCCAGAAGGGCCAGATTTGTCCCACCTACTTTGGTCATGTTGTCAGAAGGGACCATTTCCTGGGGAAGGATATCATACATGGTAAAGTGGAGGGTTAGTAAAAAAGGGGAGGGCCCTCAATGAGATGATTACAACGATGGGCTCAGGTACAGCAGGGATTGTGAGGCTGGTGCAGGACCAGGCAGTGTTTCATTCTGTAGCATATAGGGTCACTACAAGTCAGAGCCCACTCGATGGCACCTAACAACAACAACTTTATATATGAACAAAAGGGCTAACCTGTGTTTAGTACTTTCACAGTCCTTTGCATGTATTTTCTCACTACGATTCCATGAGATGGGTATTATTCTTTTCTCCATTTTGTAGGTGAGGAAACAGAGGCTCAGAGAGGTTAGGTGACCAGACATTCACAAGCAGAGGTCTCCACTCCTCTTCCTGAGCACGCTTCATTACTCCCTCTTCTAGGCCCCTGATGCCTCTTGCTTCTAAAAGCATGGGCTGCCTTGAACTTGCTACTGATACTTTATGTAGTACGTATTTATTAAGTTCCTACTGGTTCTAAGCACTGAGCCGGGGGCTAGGAACTCAGCAGTGAACAAAACAGACCAAATCCTTGCCTGTTTGAGTGGGGAGCCACCGTCTAAGTGCGGAAAATGGTGAGCAAACACAGTAATAATAATGTCATTCATGGTAAGTCCCAAGAAGACAAATGAAGCAGTGTAAGGGGATGGACTGTGGTGATGGAGGCATTCTTTTATAGATGGGGGTCAGGCACAGCCTCCCCAAGGAAGTAACGTTTGAGCACAGACTTGAAAGAGGTGAGGCGGGAAACCATCTGGGGGAACAGTGGTTCTGTGCAAGGCCGCTGCGGACAGCATGGGCCTGGCTTCGCTGAGCAGCAGCAAGG